GTTGAGATAAGAACAGTTTAATAATTGACATAAAGTAAAATAGTAATGCTAATAGTAACAGTATAATAATGATAATAATAATAATGATACACGAAGCAAGTGATGCACAATGCAATTGCTCACCACCCGCCGACCGATACCCAGACAGTTCCCGAGCAGCGATCGCTGCTCCCCGGCCACCCCCTCCCAGTTTATATACTGATCATGACGTCATATGGTATGGAATAGCCCTTTGGTCAGTTTGGATCAACTATTCTGGCTGCGCCCCCTCCCAGTTTCTTGTGTGCCTGGCAGAGCATGGGAAGCTGAAAAGTCCTTGACTAGCATAAGCAGTACTCAGCAACAACTAAAAACATCAGCATGTTATCAGCATTCTTCTCCTACTAAATCCAAAACACAGCACTATGCCTGCTGCTAGGAAGAAAATTAACTCTATCCCAGCCGAAACCAGGACAGAGCTGTAGCATGTGAACAACAGGGATCTTGGGAAGGATCTTCTCCAGAGTTGCTTGGGGGAAGCAGAGTTGTGCTGCTGCCTCTGACCTCCCTGTTCTCTGTCTATCCCTGAAGTCTTGTGCACAGGAGAGGAGAAATGGGCATTTCCTTTCATCCCTGTGCCCCATTCTGCCCCATTTCCTGGCCGTGTGGCTCACCTCGGCACAGCAGGGCTGTCTCTTGATTTCCAAGTAATTGGAAAAGCTGCTGCTGTTTTACAACTTCCAACTGTTAACAGTAATAATGGACAAGAAGATAGCAGGCTGTACGTCAGAGTCCTGCTGCCAATGCAGCCAACATTGGGACCACCCTTGGCTCTGTTCCATGGTTTCATGGTCATGCTTGCAGAACAGCTCTCCACCCTGTGTTGGCATTGCTGTTTCCAGATTGATGGCTGTGCAAGCTGGAGATTTTTAGTGTGACTGGTTCAGAGGCAGGCAGGCCTGAGGCACTTGTAGAGGGGTCTAAAGAGCATGTGTGGCACATGAAGACCTAGATTTTGGGTACCAGCTTTTCAGCAAGAGGCACAGGGAACAATGTGAATAGCAGCAAAGACTGTGGGTGGAAGTACATTTGGCATCTGCTGGAGCTGCTCAGTCTGGTTCTGCTCAATGCCTGCTGGAAACCTGTCGGGTGGTTGCATCTCCTGGTCAGAGGATACCTAGTCCCCAGGTCTAAATCATGTCGTCCTGATGTGTGGGTCTGCCCAGTGACAGGACACTGCTGTCAAGGGCTCAGAGATCCATATCTGGTCTTTAGTGGGCTTGTGTCAAGCTCTGTGTTGTCTGGAGCACGTGGGAGGTCTCTCCATGGACCTGACACCGCAGGTCCTTCCCCAGCTCAGGTGGAGGCACTGCCGTTCTCAGAGGCTGCTCAAGTGCTCACTGGGGTCTCTTCATGTTTTTTCCATGTGCCTCAGTGCTAGACCAACAACATCTGCTGGACTCCACACATTTACTTCATGCCAAGGAGCAGATGTTTCAGGAAATGATAAACAACACAGGCCAAGCTCAGCTTGGTACTCACTTGGTGCCATCATGCCTTGTGGCCATTGAATGACTTGTCCGAGAAGAGCTTTCTTGGTCCTTGTGGAGGAATTAACCCTCCATTTCCAATGTGCCTACTGGGAAATAGCCCTAGTGTTGTCAGTGCAGGGTGACTTAAAAAAAAAAAAACAACCCACAACAAAGCCTGGGAAGCACTACTTGTCCTTGCTCCAGCAGTACAAGCTGCTGACTAATTATAGGAGCTTATAGCTCCTTGAGCAAGTTGGCTGGAGTGTGGTCATGTGGCAGATGAACACGGTGTTCCCCACACCGTGGCAGAGTCAGTCCCTGGCATCACAGGCTTTGCTGCCTGCTGTCTGCCTGGCTCCCCAGGGAGTGGTGCCCTTGGTGCAGCATGCTCTTGCTGGGCTGCTGTGTGGGTTGCAGGAGGAGCTGTGCTGTGCGGGCACAGCATCCCTCTGGGAGGTTTTTACTTTGAGGCTGGACTGTGCATTGCTGCTTGTGGTGCTCTGTAAATGTCAGAACTGAGAGTGCGAGGATACAGCAGTCCGAGTGAGGGGAAGCCTGATGAAAAATGATCCAATATAAAATCTGTTTATTGCTGTCTATTGAAGGTGCCCTTCGTGCTGACCTTTTGCTGTCGAAATGTCAGGAGAAACAGTCTGGATGGCTTCCTGCTACTCTGCGCTTGTTGGTGGGTAGCAGGGCTCCTGTATAAAAACAGATGATAGATTTGCCATTTTCAGGCTCTGAAATTAGCAGAAATCCATATGGGCTTTTTTATTAAGGAAGCAGTTTGAGTTCAACACTGTTCTGGCCATAGGGCCAGGGCTGGAGCAGCTCCACTTAACTGCTTGGTTAGGGAGGGCGGGCAGCCCATCACAATGCAGCTGCAGGCAGTTTGGCTGTGCAGGGGTAAGGGCACCCTTGTGAGAAAGCTTTTAGCAGCGATGCATGTCCCTCTCCACTGCAGGCTACTCTGCTGCCAGCACCAAGGAGTTATAGTGATGGGAGAATGGAGAATTACAGTTATTGTGCCTCTCTGAATAGCATGAGACTGCAAAATCGTGGATACTAATAATGTGTTTTTCAAATCCTCTGGTCTTTTGATGGATGGTGGCTCAGGAGACATTACAGAGGACACTTGTTTCAGTTCAGCTGCAAACCCGGGTTTCCTGATGGAGGCTTAGCAGTCTATGGGCAATGTTTTGGCACTCCCACCTGGGCTTCTGGCCTGGGAAAGCATGTCAAATGGCTATAGGGAGGAGAGACCCGCAGATACCCCAGAAAGAAACTGTGCTGTTAAAACTGGCTAAATTATGCATCCACTATTTCACAGACATATTTTTAACAGCACTTTTCCCCTCCTTCTCCCATGCGCTTCTCCCTAGGGCAGAAGGCTGTAGTCCCCGTTGTCTGCATGGGAAGATGTTCAGGCAGAGTGACTGTCCTAATGTCATACAGGACACCTGGGGCAGGGGAGGGGTCTAAGTGCATTTTGCAAGTCCTGACCCAGCATCTAAAGCAAAACTGTCACCCCAGCTCTTGAAAAAGTTCAGATGCTCAAAAATCTCCATGCATAGAAAGATATAATGGGGAAAGACAAGAAAGTGGGCACTTCCAGGGTGATATGGCAGTGCAGAAACACAGCAGAGCCAAAGGGGCATGGTCACAGAATCATAGAATCACTTAGGTTGGAAAAGACCTTTAAGATCGTTGAGTCCAACTGTTAACCTAACACTGCCAAGTCCACCACTAAACTATGTCCTTAAGCACCACATCTACACATCCTTTAAATACCTCCAGGGCTGGTGACTGAACCACTTCCCTGGGCAGCCTGTTTCAATGATTCATAACTATTTTGGTGAAGAAATTTTTCCTAATATCCAATCCAAACCTCCCATGGTGCAACTTGAGGACATTTCCTCTTGTCCTATCGCTTGTTACTTGGGAGAAGAGACTGACAGCCACCTCACTACAATCTCCTTTCAGGTAGTTGTAGAGAGCAATAGGGTCTCCCCTCAGCCTCCTCTTCTCCAGGCTAAACAACTCCAGTTCCCTCAGCTGCTCCTCATTAGACTTGTTCTCTAGGCCCTTCACCAGCATCGTTGCCCTTCTTTGGACATGCTCCAGTACCTCAATGTCTTTCTTATACTGAGGAGCCCAAAACTGAACACAGTATTCAAGGTGCGGCATCACCAATGCTGAATACAGGGGGACAATCACTTGCCTAGTCCTGCTAGGTCCCTTTCTGGTGCTTTGATACACTGGTGTCTGCAATCCTGCTTCTCCAAAACATTGTGGCTTGAAAAGAGGCCAGAAGACAACAACTAAGTATTAGTAGAGTGGTGTGATTTATGAGGAAAGGCTTTAGTATGCATGCTTTGACTAACTGTGACCACAGATGTAGATGGATATTGTGTCCTTGTCTGTTGGAAGAAGCAGGCACCAAGAATCAATCAAGCAGTCTGTTTAGTCATAGGCACGTATTTCTCTTTTTCAAATTGATCCATCTATCTAATCTCAGACATACCAAGAGTGATCAACACAAAGGATGAATTATTTAGGTGAATAAATAGGAATGATGAGAAGAAATGAAGAAAATAAAAACATAGGCTTAATAATAGGAAAAATGATAAGATCATTATGCTGTGGATATATTTTAAGGACCAGTCCCACTCTGGTGGACTGGGATAGATAAGATTCTCCATCACTAACAAATCTCTGCAGATGAGCATATTTTCTTCACTTTTTGTCTTGCAGCTTGTGGACTATAGAGTGAAGTTCAGCAAGTGGTGGGTGGCAGAATTTAAGACTATCAAGTTTCCCTCTCAGGGCACAGTCTTTGACTTTTACATCGATCCGGAAACAAAGAAGTTTGAGCCTTGGTCTAAACTTATTCCCCAGTTTGAATTTGATCCAGAAATGCCATTACAGGTACGTGAACCTTGCATGCTTTCTGTCTGGGAGGAATACATGCATTTTAGTGACTGTACACAGGCATTTCAATGAAGTCTCATTAAAGGTCAAGCTCTTCATAATAAGAATGGTATTCTTTATGAGGTACAACTAAATTACCCATCTTTCTTTACTGTATTTTGACTGTGAAGACACATCCCCTATCCATCTTCTAAATCTGAGTGGTGTACATGAGGGGCAGGCTCAGAGCCACCCCAGTGACCCAGGAGCTGGTGTGCCCAGAGTGCAGGACAGGAGGTGCCTGACAGGGGGTACGTTTGGCCAAGGAGTGCAGCCTGCAGGATGTGAGACAATGTAGTGACAAAGTCCCTGAGACACCATGTCATCATCCTGTGCCTGGCTGAAAATAGAGATGTTTTTATGATTTGGACAAAAAATGAGTTTCTGCAGGTAGTGAATTGCATTTGCCAGCTACTCTTCTTTCCTTTTAAAGTGCCATAGTAAGCAGATGACTTGTAAAAATTGTTACCGTTGTAGCAAAATGTGTATTTGTGGGGAGATCCAGATGCTGCTCCCAGCATTGGGCTGTCAAGGTTTCATTTGTACAGACACTTTGATTTTAATAGCTGGCAGCAGCATATTGTTCCCTTCCTCGTGCAACGTAGAAACTAGGGTCACCTCACTCATTCCTGGCTCTCCCAGTTTTACTTCTCCCCAGAACATGGCTGTGGGGTTGTGGCAAGGATGGGGACTCTTACCTGCTCGTTATGCCCCTCTCAGGCTTGCCTGGTGCCCACCACCGAGACAGTCCGTGTGCGGTACTTCATGGACAGGCTCCTGGAGCGCCAGCGCCCGGTGATGCTGGTGGGCAATGCCGGCATGGGGAAGTCTGTGCTGGTGGGGGACAAGCTCTCCTCACTGGACACGGATGCATATGTGGTGAAGAGGGTCCCATTTAACTACTACACCACCTCTGCCATGCTGCAAGGTAAGGCAACAGCTGAGCCATGGGACTTCTGGCTGGCAGGTTACCGAATTCCTGGGGTGTGTGGCGAGGTTTGGAGTGGGGTATGCACTGTGGCACTCGGGAGAAGACCTGTGGGTGAGCTGCCCATGTTGTGTGTGGTCTCTGCACTGACACCCACAGACTCTTAAATCCTCCTGTGAAACTCTCAGGTCAGCAGACCCCTGATTTTGTGGAAGATGACATTTTCCATCATGAGGATGTGAATTCTGAACACCACGACTCTGGTTCAGGGCTGTGCCAAAGCACATGCTTAAATCTGCTGCTGTTTTGTACAGCACACAGTTCATACTTGCCTTGAGGTGTGTCTTTAATATGCTTGAATTTAAGCCCATGCTGGATACGACGGGTTTCTTGGCTAGAATCCAAACTGTCTTCTGGGTGCAATGACGGGAATTGCATCCCAGTTAGCAGTAAGGATGGTGCTAATCATAAAATCATAGAATGCTTTGGGTTGGAAGGGACCTTTAGAGGTCATCTAGCCCAACCCCCCTGCACTGAGCAGGGACAGCTTTAACTAGATCAGGTTGCTCAGAGCCCCGTCCAACCTGACCTTGAATGTTGCCAGAGATGGGGCCTCTACCACCTCTCTGGGCAACCTGTTCCAGTGCTTGACCACCCTCATTGTAAAAAATTTCTTTCTTATGCCTAGTCTAAATCTATTCTTCTTCAGTTTAAATCCATTATTCCTTGTCCTGTCACAACAGGCCTTGTTAAAAAGATTCTCCCCATCTTTCCTGTAGGCCCCCTTTAAGTACTGGAAGGTCGCAATAAGGTCTCCTTGCAGCCTTCTCTTCTCCAGGCTGAACAACCCCAACTCTCTCAGCCTGTCCTTGTAGGACAGGTGCTCCAGCCCTCGGATCATTTTGGTGGCCCTCTTCTGGACCCGCTCCAACAGGTCCATGTCATTCTTGTGCTGAGGGCCCCAGAGCTGGATGCAGTACTCCAGGTGGGGTCTCACCAGAGCAGAGTAGAGGGGCACAATCACCTCCCTCGACCTGCTGGCCACGCTTCTTTTGATGCAGCCCAGGATACAGTTGGCTTTCTGGCCTGCAAGTGCACATTGTTGGCTCATGTCCAGCTTTTCACCCACCAGTACCCCCAAGTCCTTCTCCACAGGGCTGCTCTCAATAATGGATATGTGCAGGCTGTAAACCAGGGCTGACGGTTCCTGGTGCTGTCCCCCACGTCCTGCCGCAGCCTGACATGTTCCCATGGAGCAGGTCCTACACCCCCACCTCCCTGGGGGCACAGGAGTTGCTGACCTTGGGGGCCTCAGAGCCCCAGGGAATTGCTGGCTCTGGGGAAGCCCATAAGAATATTGCTGGTGAGGATTTTGGCACATCAGTGAAAAACAGTCTAGGACCAAGATGAGGTCAGTTTTGCTGTTTAGGCTCTTCAGAGGCAAAGAGAAAGGAGGGAAACCTTGAAAAGTTGCTCATTTTGGAATGATGTTTTCACTTTGAGTTGATGTAAAGATAAAATAACCTTTTACATGTATTTATTAACCAAGAATGAAACAACCTGGTTGGTTTTGAGTTGAATACCAGCTGTGGGTCACCATAAAGCTAAATGCTTCCTTTATATAGCTTGGTTTGACCCAAATGGCCTGAAATCCTTTTGCTCCCCCAGCCCTATACAGGACTACCATCCATGAAAGATTGGTGAGACCGAGGATTTAACCTTCACCGTTTGGGTTGTTCCTGGACAATTGCTGGGCGGGGATGTGCTCACAGCCCAGATTAATGCCAAAGGCAGTAAGCATCTGGGGCTCTTTCCATGCTCTGCCAGGCTCCCAACACCACAAACATTTTAAGAGATGTGTCAGAGCTTAAAATTGCCCTCTGGGACTGATCTGCTTGCAGAGAAGTGACAGCACAGGCTCAGCCCCTGTTGTGTAACCTGGGGCTGTGTCATGGGGCCAGCATCAGAGCTTTCTGGGGCAGGTTTGTAGAGTTTCTGGGCCTGCTGGTACCCACCCTCCCAGACTCTCCTGCCTGTGCTGACCAGCCCCACGGGATGGTGCCCGTGCCACTGCCCACAGTGTGAATGCAAATTATTTGGGTTACATGTCCTTCAAGTGAAAAAATGGGTAAAATCTCACCTTTTGACCAGTCTTGCAGCCCTGAGCGATGTGATGGTTAGAGCCTCCCTTCTCCCCTCCCAGGTGCCTCTTCTCCTTTTCTCCCTGTGTTGGGTCTCTGTGAAATGCCCTTGAGCTGGTAAATGGGCTAAGCTGTCTCTTTGTCCACCCAGCTCCCTGGGTGGGGCAATGCATGCTCATTTATCTCCATCTGGACAGGGTGAGTGTGTGCAGGTGTTGAGATTTATACAGGCAGACCTGGCAGTGTGTCCCTGTTTACTCTAGCTGTGAGCTATCGGCTGAAACAGTGACTTTCTTCCTCTGCAGAGAGGAGTAAGTCATCTTGCATGGAGATGAAGATGTGGCTGTGAGATTTGCATTGGGAAGCATGATTTATATTGTTTGGCCTGGTGCCCTACTGCTCATTTTTTAGAGTTAGTTTCTCCCTTTTATGTGTAGTTTGTCAGTTGGCTGCTTTTTTTTTCCCCAGCAGGCACCTTTTTAAATTTGTAAAACATGGATACAAAGCAGATTTAGAGTGCGGGTTTTTTTTTTTTTTTCTCTTTTTTCCTTTTTTTTTCTTTTTTCTTTTTTTTTCTCCTTTTTCTCCTTTTTCTCCTTTTTCTCCTTTTTCTCCTTTTTTCTTTCTTTTTTCTTTCTTTTTTCCTTTTTTCTTTCTTTTTTCCTTTTTCTTTCTTTTTTCCTTTTTCTTTCTTTTTTTCCTTTTTTCTTTCTTTTTTCCTTTTTTCCTTTTTTCCTTTTTTCCTTTTTTCCTTTTTCCTTTTTTCCTTTTTCCTTTTTCCTTTTTCCTTTTTCCTTTTTCCTTTTTCCTTTTTCCTTTTTCCTTTTTCCTTTTTTCTTTTTTCTTTTTTCTTTTTTTCTTTTTTTCTTTTTTTCTTTTTTTCTTTTTTTTCTTTTTTTTCTTTTCTTTTTTTTTACTTAAAAACCTCTGAAAGCCAGTAATTTCTTGGACAAGGTGTCTGTTGGTGCAGACATTTATCAGGTGCAGAGCGTGTGCCCTTTAGGGGAAGAACAGCTATGTAGTTCAAACCATCCTTGCAGGCCCTGTGGTTTACAGAGGTGCCATGTCCACAGGGATTAAAAGGAGCCAGACACCCTCTCTGCCCAAGCCTGGGGCCAGTTTGGGGGTTTGCTTTGGTGTATTGTGACTGAGTGCCACTCTCTGTGGCATGTTTTGCTCTCTCAGCCCATTGCCCTGGACCTCTGGTCTGCTGCTCTCTCTGCTTCGTGCCTTCTTGGACCTCTGCTCCTCCTTGCTCCTTCTTCAGATGTAGCCCTGACTTCCACACACTCCTGCCCTGTTCCTGTCATTCAGCACCTTTTCACTCCAGATCTGCCGTAAGAAAATTGCAATAAACATTGCTTTTTTGCTTTTGGGGTTCCCTCCCCCCTTGATCAACAGCCAGCAGGCAAGAGGAGTTGCACCTGCTAACTTTCCTTTGCAGTGACTGTTTCTTTCAGGTGCTATTTGAGTATGCCAGGATCTCAGAGGCAGAGACATGGACCCTTTATTATTATTGCCTTAATTGGTTTAGTGGTGGACTTGGTAGTGTTAGGTTAATGGTTGGACTGGATGATCTTAAAGGTCTTTTCCAACCTAAACGATTCTATGATTCTATGATTGTGAGATATGGCTTTGAATTAAAATGCAACTTTCACAAACATGTCACTTTATCCCCAGTAATTGATTGCATTTCAGTGTGATGAATCCCCTGCATACTTGTTTAACCTCAAAAAGGGCTGATTTTATATGTTAATTAAGGACTAATTAAATTTAAATTAAATGCTTATCTGAAACACTTAATTTAACTTGCTACCAGAAATTTCAAATGTTGTGGTTTTATTGAAGGGGGAGAGAGACTGCACTGAGGAAAGATTCATCATTTTTCTTAGCACAATTAATTCCTTTGTGCAGCAACAGTCTGTGACAAGAAATCAGCTGAATTTTGAGTAGTGGGAAAGACGAGCTGTCTGCAATGCACTGGAACAGGAAAAAAAACGGTGTTTTAAAAGATTTGTGGTCTGAAAAAAACCACAATATAAATCTTCCTTAATAACTTTTGCACATGATAATGAGTGGCTTAAGCATACATTTTCACAAGGAGATTTTTATAAAAATTCCCAGTCTCATTTACATTTGCCAGTCTTCCCTAATTACAAAGAATTGCTACTTACCATGCTGCTATACAGCACCTTATAGGTCTGTTGACAACCCAAAACTGTGTAAATGAAACAAAATCTGCCTCTATCTTCAGGAGAGCAGTGAGCCCCTGAGACCAAGGATGCTCTCCAAGCAAGCACATGGCAGAAAGCCCATCCCAGGATCTAGACAGAAGAGAGCTGCTTCTGTTTGCTTTTCTACTTATTGAGTCAGTAAAGGTTGCTTGGGCTGCAATCAAAGGAATCAATATTTATTAAATATCAGCCCGGCATTATAAATATTCCCCAAATTTTATAATCTAGAGCAACACATAACCTCAGCCTTCTGCTAACCAAATTAAAATCTTCCGAAGCTTTGAAATGAGAAACTTTTCTCTCTATGCTTTCCCTTGCTCATGCATGACCCTACTTAAAACCAGGTGGTAATTTGACAGCTCATGTTGGAAATGAGTCTTGTTACATTATCTGGAGGTTTGGGTAATGCTGGGGAGGGGATCAGGGAACTTGTGGGCATTTGGTGCATTTAAATGAAAAATATTATTTTGTTTGTCCTGAAGATGTCCAGGAATTTGGCCCTAAAATAATTTATTACTTCTGTCTGATGGGGGTAAAAAAAATGCACCTGTGCTCATAAAATCAGCTTTGCTCATGGGCTTCTGTGCCTACAGCATCTCCTTTTTTCCTTCCCAGTGCCCAGCCACTACTGCCCATGCTAATGGCACTGTCACCGTATAGGTGGGGCAGGGAGCAGAGGATATTCACTGCTCCTTTGTATGGATCAGAATAACATCAGCAAGCAAGATTTCATTTAAAAAATTATGCAGAAGGGATTCAAAAGGCCTTATCTCACATGAAAATCTTTTGCTTGGTCTGAAGTAGACCCATTTTGTAGGAGACTTAGTTTTGCCCTATTTTGTTTGAAAGGAGGAATTGAGAGCTTTCTGATTTGGGTCGGGTCAGACTGAAGAGGTTCCCAAGGGTCCCTGCCAGGCCTGTGCAGGGCTCCCCACTGCTCTATAGCCATAGCTTGGGGACAGGCACTGTCCTGCTAGTGAGCAGCATCCTGTGCCGAGACCAATTCTTCCTCCCCAAAAAAGCAATAAACAGCCCAGATGCCAGCTGGAGGGGGCCAGGGGCTTTTTTCCCTGTGCTGCAAGATGAGCCCTGCCTGTCCTGTGCATAGTTCAGCTCCTCCTGGGGCTGCTGTAGCTACACACAGCAAGGAATTGAGCTGGGTTGAGAAATTATTTTTATTTTGCAGCAATGACTGCCCAGATAGCTTAGAATCATAGAATCGTTTAGGTTGGAAAAGACCTTTAAGATCATCTAGTCCAACCATTAGCCTAACATTACCAAGTCCACCCTAAAACAATTAAGGGTAGACTAGACTAAACCATGTCCCAAAGTGCCACATCTACCCATTTTTTGAACACTGCCAGGGATGGTGACTCCACCACCTCCCTGGGCAGCCTGTTCCAATGCTTGACTACCCTTTCTGTAAAGAAATTTTTCCTAATATCCAATCTAAACCTGCCCTGGTGCAGCTTGAGCCCATTTCCTCTCGTCCTGTCACTAACTACTTGGGAGAAGAGACCAACACCCACCTCACTACAACCTCCTTTCAGGTAGTTGTAGAGAGCAATAAGGTCTCCCCTCAGCCTCCTCTTAGCTTTGCACCTCTGCTTCCATACAGGTGTGCTTGAGAAGCCTCTGGATAAAAAGGCTGGCAGAAATTATGGCCCTCCAGGTACCAAGAAGGTTATCTACTTCATTGATGATCTGAACATGCCTGAAGTGGATGCTTATGGCACGGTGCAGCCCCATACACTGATCAGGCAGCACCTGGACTACGGCCACTGGTAGGAGGCTGCTCGGGCTTGGTCATCTGAGACCTTTTTCTTCAGCTCCAGCGTTGGGGATGGGGTTTGAGAGGAGGTCAAAACATGGTTCCCCCTCTCCATCCCGTGTCTGCCATCACATCTACCTGGGCTGGGCTAGAGTTAGCTCTGGGTGAACCAAGCGCTGTGCACCCTTGGGGTTTCCCCTGTCCCCAGCAAACAAACTCACTTACTCATAGCCTGGTTGAGAAGAGCTTTGCTCTGCTCTTGCTGCAGCTTGTGACTGTGGTCCCAATGGAAAGCCTGCCAAGGGAGCGTGATGCTCAGCCTTGATGCTCTGCAATGCAGAGGAAGGCCATGGATTTGGCCTCAGCTGGGATGAACTGCCCCTGCTGTGAGCACCTAATATTGTTTTCAGTCATGCAGCAGCAAACAAGCATTTTCTAGGCAGAGGCAATTTGAAGGAAAAACAGTGATAGTGTTTTGGAAGGAGATTGGTGCATTTTACAACATAGCCAGCAACACTGCGTGGGACAGCAATATTTGCAGCTCCCCCTGTGGGGATTACAGGGCAGGGACTCATAGCAATTTCCATTCTCCTCAGCTGCATGCATGCCTGAGCTTGGCCAAAAGCTTCCCAATTATGGAGACAGCAGAGGGGAGGCAGAAATTTTGGGCTGTGGATGTCAGGAAGTCCGGCAGAAAGAGGGCTCTCCTGGTTGTATGGGGGCATCGGAGGCACAGGGGGATGCAGCATGCCGTGTGTCCCCTCCCAGGCATGTCCAGGCTTTCTGCCCATGCTGTTGGCAGCGCCCGCTGGGGTGTTGCACACTCAGTGTCCCCTCTCACAGCCTGGTGGGGCTGCAGCTCACTCCAAGGTTGGAGAGGAGTGAGATGGGCAAAGCTCACTGTAACCGTTGGGCTGCCCTGGCCCTGGTAGGAACCCTGGGTCTTTTGGCATCCTTCTCATGTAGGCAGTGGGTAGGCAGGTGTGTCTGGCAGCAGGCAGCCTGCTTGGCCTGTCCCAGGCTGGCTCAAACCAGATACACTCCTGCGATTTTCTACAATTTCTATGCAAGTGACTGGTACAACCTGTGGACTTTGCTCAGTGCTTGTTACTAGCTTATAGAAATTAGCTACAGGTTGTTGAAGCTGAAGAATTTCCACCAAGAGCAGGACTCGTGTGCTAGGCCATGTACAGGCATGCAAGCAGGCCTGGGCCCTGCCTTGGGGAGATGCGGAATTTGGCCCCACTGAAGACAACTGGACATTGGCAGCCCATGGACACGTGCCAGGGTAGACGCAGCAGCTGTTGCTCGCAGGCTGTGGTCACTGTGCCTCTGCTTTTGTTTTGCCCAAAGGTATGACAGGACCAAGCTGTCGCTGAAGGAGATCACGAATGTGCAGTACGTGTCGTGCATGAACCCAACTGTGGGGAGTTTCACCATTAACCCGCGTCTGCAGGTAAAGCTCTGTGTAATAGCAGGCACATCGCTGATTTTATTTTTGGCTGGATTATTTAAGTGTGAGGCCAGAGGAAAACAAACCACTGGCAGATCCTGCTGTCATTTTATCAGTAGAAATGGCATGAATCTGTCGAGTGACTGTAATTCCTAATGGTGAAGCAGCAGACTTGCTCCCTTATTCCCTTGTTTGTTTTTCCTCACATTCTGCTGCTCAGTTGGAGAAAAAAGTCACAAGTTGCCAGCCAGCATAACACCTACTTTCAGGACAGCCTTCTGGTTCGTACAGACAGATTTTGCCTTCATTTAGCTCATATTTGCCTCTGGAACATAGTTCATTAAAGCCTTTTGGTTTCTAAAATTTCCCGATGGAGCTGGCAGTGTATTCTCATTAAAAGGAGGTGTGGGGGGGAAACCCAAACAAACAAAAAGAACCCAAACCCAGTACAAGTGCTGATGGTAAGAGAAGTATAGATTTGGGAAGAGATCTTAAACCTCAGGGCTTGATTTTTGGTAGCTGTGAGGCCCGACCTGGGTCATAGAGCTGGTTATTATTAGTTCTGAGGTTACATTTTCTCCAAGCTATGAGGAGTGGCAGAGCCTGGTTGGGGGCTCTGCAGATCAAAACCACTGAGCAGGTCCTGTTGGCATCCAAGGGTGACAAATGGCAGCCAGAGGGACAGTGCTCTTCACAGCTGCATGGCCGGTGTTTGCCATACCATAGGAGGCGAAGCTTGGCACGTGAGCAGTAGTGGAGAAATACCCTGAGAAACAGGTGCCCATGCAAGAGCAGCTGTAGCTCGGTGGGGCAGCTGCTGCAAGGACAGATCCTGCTCACAGCACTGTAGACAGGGACCTGCCAGCTGTTGGGGAGCCTGGATAGCAGAGAGCAAAATTGATTCCCTCATGGAGAAACCTCATGACAAGAGTCAGCCCAGGCCCTGGTGCCTCTTTAGCAAAGGACTCTGTTGTGTTAAAAAGAAGCATCCCATGTCTGGAAATGGGCATATCCTCTGTCTTTGCAAGTTCCAAATCAATAAAGGGGTCTCTGGGACATGGCACCTTCCAGGGTCTGTTCCTAACAGAGACAGTGACTGGACTTCATCAGAGGTCGGTGGGACCTTCAGAGCCCTTCAGCTCTTCAATGGACTGAACTTCCAGCATAGCAGTTGTGAAATGCAGTTGAAAATCCCTTGTTTGGTGAGCAGAATGATGTCACTTGCCAACTGTACTCTGCTGGGAAACTGGAAGAGGGAAATAGCCTTGTTCAGGTGGACTGCAAGTCAGAGAATCGTAGAGCATCCCAGGTTGTCAGGGACCTTGAAAGATCATCTGGTCCAACCCTTCATGGGAAAGACAGCCTAGATGAGATTATCTAGCACTGCATCCAATTGCATCAAGTCCCCAAGGGCATTTTGCTTGAGAGGTGGTTGCCCATATCTCTGACCTTTCTATATCTTCCTTTCTTTTCCTCAGCGTCACTTCTGTGTCTTTGCTCTCTCCATCCCTGGTCAGGATGCCTTGTCCAGGATCTACAGCACCATTTTAATGCAGCACCTGATGAGTGGAAATTTCTCAGGGGCTGTGCAAAAATCAGCTCAGCAGCTGATTGCCTTGGCCCTGGGACTGCATCAGAAAGTAGCTGCCACTTTTCTGCCAACGGCTATCAAATTCCACTACGTTTTCAACCTGAGAGACTTCTCCAATATCTTCCAAGTAAGTGCAGTTGCTGTCCTGTGGCACTTGGAGCTTGTTCTGAGGCCATGAGAGGTTGTGGACACGTGTTCCCCTGGCCCAGCTAGCCTTGGTGAGCAAAATGCAGTCTCCCACCTAGCAATAACACAGCATGTGTCCCCTGAGTAAAGGGGGTGACCTCGGGCCATTCCCTAATTCCTGATAGGTTTTGGATGGATTCCAGAGCCATGACCCATGGCTTTGAGGAACATCAGTTAGAAGCTTATTTACTTTCTAGCCTCCTGTGGTCAACAGGGAGGGATGAATAGCTCCAGAAGGAGGTGCAGGTTTCAGGTGGGTTGAAATGCTCTCTGTCTATAAAAGGGACCAACTGAAGGGAGCTTTGGGTTCCTGACTTCAGCACTTAAGTGACTGTTGCTGAGTGTGATGAAGCTGGGCTTGTCTTTGTAAGCCTCAGTTCCACATGAGTAAATGTGGGGATTAATGGCACCGCTCCACCACATGGAAATTATTTTATTGAAATGAAGCAGGTGGTGGATACTTAGTGGGCTACTGGCCCTGAAGATAGGAGACCAGTAACTAGTCAACTGGTCTGCCTAGAGCCAGCACAGCTTGTTGGCCTATACTGGCATGTCCTCTTAGCTTTCCGATGGTCAAGTACTCAGCATGTGCATGAAGGATGGTGTTTAAAGAGTTGATAAACAAATCAAAACCAGCTTTGACTTAATTGCTGAAACTGAATTACCACTGGAACCAGCTCTGTACCAAGGGGAAGTTGTTCAGCTTTCAAAATGTTTTCTTCCAACAATGGAGATATATTTTTTTCCCCTAGAAAGAAATCTCATGCTTTGAAGCAGTAAATATTACTGCTGAAAGAGCCTTTCAGAGTTCAAGGCTTGTTAATAAAGTTTGAGAAAGTTAGCAGCAGCCAAATCAAGAGGTTTGAAATACCATAACCTGTTGTAAAACCTCAGTGTGTATCTGTTGCTGTCCTTATTAATGCCTGTTTTACAAAGTGGGTACTGAAAGTTCACTGCCTTCTGGTCTGGTCCATCAGACAGGAGCTGACATAATGACAGGCAATGGGAAATCCAAGAACAGTACCTTAAAAAAGTTAATAACCACTATGTCAAGAAGAAATCGGACCTGTCACTTGTGCTCAGCTAAACATCAGCAGCCTTTGACGTTAGATGTGGGTCATGTTAAATCCTGGCTTCTAGTTAATCTGTGCTTTGAAAGGCAGAGAGAGAGAAAAGAAGCATTTCAATGGGAAGCTTTAATTTTAACTATAGTCTGCTTGAAAGGTGCTAAGGTTGTGGGATATTAGAAAATGTCCTGCCAGATCTAGATGCTGATCCAGAGGGTAGGAGCGGTGACAGGAGCTCAGATGGCTTTTCATTTATCAAGGCTGCAGGAGTGGGGGAGTCTGTCTCTGTGGGCTTATAATGTTTATTTAAATTGTGGTTCAATTTTTCTTGAAACCCCTCCTTCTGCTGTTCATTCTTGATTATTCCTTACCTTAAATATTCTTGGGTTTTTGAGATCTCCTGATTTCCTGTTTAGCTCTGCTGGAACACAGGTTTTTTTTCCTGAAATTGGGTGTGAAAGAAGCTCTGGACTCTGGGAATGCATTTCCATGTGTTGCGTTTGTTACATCTTCATATATTCATAATTTAGCTCGAGCTCTCTTGTCCAACCCCCTGCTCAAGCAGGGCCAACTTCAAAGTTAGGTCAGGCTGATCAGACAAGTTTTGAATGTTTCCAAGGCTGGAGTTGCCATAGCCTCTCTGGCCCTTGTTGCACTACTAAATCCACTCTATGGTGAAGTTCATATATTTTTATTTCAGTCAGAATTTCCCTGACTGTAATTTGTGTTTGTTGCCTCTTGTCCTTTTGCTATGCACCTCCAAAAAAAACATTTGGCTTGGTCTTCTCTGTAACTCCCCATTAGGTAGTTGTATACAGCAGTAAGATTCCCCTTCACCTTTTCCCCAGGCTGAACAAAAACCCATTTCTCCCAGCCTTTCCTCGCATGTCCTGTGCTCCACCATTTTACAGTCTTGGTGGCCTCCATTGAACTTGCTCCTGTATGTCAATATCTTTCTTATACTGGGGGACCCAAAAGTGGATTAAGCCTCACACAGCTTTTCTCCAGCCTCTTGAGGTCCCTCCCTTTGGTGTAATAACCTCTCTGCTTGGTCAGCATCATCTGCAGACCTGCTGAGAGTGCACTGCCTGGGTCATGGAGGAAGGCATTAAACGATACTGCCCTTGTACCAAGCCCTGAGGAACAGGTAGTTTGCCTCCAGTTAGAACTTTGAGCCTCATGGTCCAGCCAGTTCTCCACTCACTTTGCAGTCCATGCATCTGGTCCATGTTCTTTTATGATGCTTGGTGTGATGGCATCTGGGAAAAACAAAGAAGGAAAAAAAAAAAAGAGGGAAACAAAACAAAACAAACAAAAAACCCCAAAAAGCAGGGCCATCTGAGTTGCCAGGGACTGTGGGAAGATGGAGAATCAGTGGATGTAAGGCTTGTAGGTTGGTGCATAATGCCTTTTTCAAATTCCTTTTAATCCCAGACAAACAATAAAACACTAAGTGCATAATAGCTGCCTATGTAAAAAGCATTTGGGGGTTGCTGTTTTACCAGCTATTCTGTAATTATACAAGCAGCCAATGATAACTGTTAAAGGCACAAACCGTATGCAAATTGCAGCTGAAGAGGAGTCAACCCCTGGACTTGCTGTCTCTGTACTGTGATACTGCTGGCTCTGCACAGGTCGTTAACAATGGCTCCATTTGCAATGTGTCCAGTGGCTCTGTCATTATCGTACCATCTTAGATGTTAATACTGTGCCTAAATATTTAAGTAGGGCCTTACAAGCCCAGCTTGATTCCCTTTGTCAAATCTTCCTGACAGCTCTTAGGACAAGGAGTCCTGTGCTAATTGTCTCATTAGAAAACACTCCAAGAACCTGTATCTTAATTGTTTCAGCTAATGAAGAATGAATGAGTTTGGACCTGGTATTCATGCGAGTGTTGCACAGAACAAGGAAGACTACTGCAAAGCAAGTCAGCAATTCCTTTCAGCAGACAGATATGGGAACTTATTGCTTCCATGTTTGTCCTTCTGCACCCAATACCCATTGCCACCTGGCCTGAGCTGATCAGGCTGATGTCTGTGTTGTTTGGGGTGAGGGTTCAGCTGAAGGTAACTCCAGAAGGTGTTCAATCCAAATAATGGCAAAACACCAGAGAGATTTGTCTAGACAAATAAAGGTATTAGTGAAACCAAAGGGAAAAAGAGCAACCTGTAAACCCAAGGGTTTGAAGGCTTGGCTGGCAGCAGTGGGCTGACTTTGTGAAGCACTGTTCGTGTTTGTCCTGACTAATTGGAATGATCATCTCTGGGGATCTGAGCATCTTTAGTGAGTTTCCTTTTTGCCTGGCTAGTCATGCCCTCTCCCTCATCAGAGCAAAACCAGCATTTCTGTGTGTAGTTCAAGTTCAGCTCTTCCTCATGGAAACATGGAGAAGAGCTCAAAGAAACTGTGTTTCTTAAGCACCTCATTGACCTGAGGTGAAAGGAGTCCGAGGTGACTGTCCTGTTGTCAGACATCAGCACTTTGCAGGTCTAAGGTGGGATTTGGCTCCAGATTAAGATGCTCGGATTCAGGTGTGTGAGGATATCTAGGTTCATCCAAGACTGGGGAGGGCAGAAGACTGTCCAGCTCCCCCTGCCAGGGGCACAGTGTTTTAACTCTGTTGCCCAAGTGTGGGTGTCTAGTGCTTTTTGAAACACATCAGGACATCCCACCTGGGCTCCAGTGGCTGTACAAGGACGCAGGTGTTATCCTGTGTTGTACCTGCCTGCCCCATGTGGGTGTCTTGTCTGAACTGCTTGAGCTGTGTTCCTTTTGAGGCTCCGTTGGCTGTAGAGTAGGTGTCCTCTGAGATGAACCATCTAGTTCTGTTGACTTGGGAAGGTCCTGGGAAATCCCATGCGTTCCTATACAATGATGATTTTATCCACTGTTCTCACTTGATTTTTGTTTCTGGACCTCACCTTCAGCAGG